GACTGGTTGGATCTCCTTGCAGTCCAAGGGACTCTCAAGAGTCTTCTCCAACACCACAGTTCAAAAGCATCAATTCTTCAGTGCTCAGCTTTCTTTATAGTCCAACTCTCACGTCATGACTACTGGAAGAACCACAGACTTGACTAGACGGACCTTTGTTGGCAAAGTAATGTCTCTGCTTTTTAACATGCTATCCTGGTTGGTCATAACTTTCCTTCCAAGGAGTAAGGGTCTTTTAATTTCATGGCTGCAATCACCATCTGCAGTGATTTTGGAGCCCCCAAATATAAAGTCTCTCTGTTTCCACTGTTTCCCCATCTATCTGCCATGAAGTGATGGGACTGGATGCCATGATCTTAGTTTTCTGAATGTTGAGCTTTAAAGCCAACTTTTTCACTCTCCTCTTTCATTTTCATCAAGAGGCTCTTTCAGTTCTTCTTCACTTTCAGACATAAGGGTGATGTCATCTGCATATCTGAGGTTACTGGTATTTCTCCCGGCTATCCTATTCCAGCATGTGCTTCCTCAAGCCCAGCATTTCTCATGATGTACTCTGCATATAAGTTAAATAAGCAGGGTGACAATATACAGCCTTGACGTACTCCTTTTCCTATTTGGAACCACGCTGTTGTGCCATGTCCAGTTCTAACTGTTGCTTCCTGACCTACATACAGGTTTTTCAAGAGGCAGGTCATGTGGTCTGGTATTCCCATCTCCTTCAGAATTTCCCACAGTTTATTGTGATCCACACAGTCAAAGGCTTTGGCACAGTCAATAAAGCGGAAATAGATGTTTTTCTGGAACTCTCTCGTTTTCTCGATGATCCAGCGGATGTTGGCAACTTGATCTCTGATTCCTCTACCTTTTCTTAATCAGCTTGAATATCTGGAAGTTCATGGTTCATGTATTGTGGAAACAGTGACTTTATTTTTTGGGGCTCCAAAATCACTGCAGATGGTGATTGCAGCCATGAAATTAAAAGATGCTCGCTCCTTGGAAGAAAAGTTACAACCAATCTAGACAGTATATTAAAAAGCAGAGACATTACTTTGCCAACAAAGGTCCATGTAGTGAGAGCTATGGTTTTTCCAGTAGTCATGTATGGATATGAGAGTTGGACTATAAAGAAAGTTGAGCGCTGAAGAATTGATGCTTTTGAACTGTGGTGTTGGAGAAGACTTGAGAGTCCCTCGGACTGCAAGGAGATTCAACCAGTCCATCCTAAAGGAAATCAGTCCTGAATATTCATTGGAAGGAGTGATGCTGAAGCTGAAACTCCAGTACTTTGGCCACCTGACACGAAGAACTGACTCATTGGAAAAGACTCTGATGTTGGGACAGACTGAAGGCGGGAGGAGAGGGGGACGACAGAGGATGAGATGGTTGGATGGCATCACCGACTCAATGGACAGGAGTTTGAGTAAACTCCAGTAGTTGGTGATGGACAGGGAGGCCTGGCCTGCTATAGTCCACAGGGTTGCAAAGAGTCGAACATGACTAAGGGACTGAACTGAACTGAACTGAAACGGTTGAGTTTTAATTAAGAGTTCTCTGTGTATTTTGGATAACAGTCCTTTATCAGATATGTTTTACAAATATGTTCTTCCAGTTCACGTCATCATCTTGACAGTGTCTTTGGGAGAGCAGAAGTTTTTCATTTTAATGAAGTCAATCTTAATTTTTTTGTTCATGATGTTTTTGGCATCGCATCTAAAAACACATTGCCAAACTCAATGTTACCTAGAATTTCTCCTGTGTTATAAAACTTCTAGTAGTTTTGTACTTTATATCTAGATCTATGATCTGTTCTGAGTTATTTCAGGGAAAGGTATAAGGTCACTGTCTATATTAATTTTTTTGCATGTTGATGTCTGGTTGTTCTCACACCACTTATTCAAAAGACTCTTCTCCATAGAACTGCCTCTACTCTTCTGTCAAAGATTGACTATATTTGTGTGTCTGTTTCTGGCCTTTCTCTTCTGTTCCACTGATCTATCTGTTCTTTCACCAATACCACACTGTCTTCATTACAAACAATATACACAGGAAGTCAAGTTTAATGAGGAGACAGTTTTTGCTTCTTCTTTTCCCCCCCAAAGTATTTTAACAAACATTTTGGTGTAAAAAAAAAATTTTTTTTAATATCAACAAATTTGTGAACAGAAGAAATAGAAAGCCTAAGAGGAAATGTGAGGAATCAGTTTCCATTTGTTGTTCTTTTGATAAATTGTATAAAAGGATTGAAATCATAAAAACCTACCTGAGTCATAAAGAATATGAAATATTAAGGTAGCATTTTATCATTTGTTTCTGAAATCTCTAAAAAAAAACCTTGTATACCAATAAAAAATAATCTATTATGTAACTTAACAACTCCTCTCAACTTCATCAGGTCATATTCCACTCATCAGCTCATATTCCACTCAACTTCATCCTGCCTCAGTTTCTTTCTGTATAGAATGAGCACATACAAACTTTTTCATAAGAATGTTGAAAGGAATTCATGTAAAGTATATCCTACATAAAATCACCTGAGAAACAAAAATGGAAAATACCTTTTGATAGCCAATCTTACTATTTTTTTAAAACCCTAAACACATCATTTAAGCTGTGTGACCCTAAATTAATATATTTTTCCCCCAGTAAAATGGACAGTGGGAAGGGTTTTCTCTGAGTTAGTAAAATGAGTGCAAAAGTAAAAATTTTCATATAAAATTTATGACAATGTGTTCTGAAATAAAGAATATTAATTTACATAACTGATAAAACTCTTTTCAGCATCAAATCATCCTTAAAGTAAACAAATGCATTTCTCTTAAACTTCTTTTGGGGTTGATGAATATAAAAATGTTAATGCAAGCTCATCTTTATTTTTATGCTACTTGAGTATCCTATTCCTTAAATTACTTTGTACCCAAAGAATATATTAATATATTTTCAGATATAATGCAAAATTCTTTTTTGGTGGTCTTTATCAAATACAAAAAGAACTACCATAGCTATAAATAACTATAAGCTATTCTAGGAAAGACTGCCCCCTTGTGCCAATCAATAATATTTAACATACTAAGAAAAAAACACCAAAAACTTTCTGACACTAGAAGTAGCCAGACTTCTACTAAAATGGTCTTGATCTTTCCATGTTCCAATTTCAACAGTTCATATTTAAAGTGGTGATCTTCAAAGAGAAGTAAATTGAACAGTACATTAAGCTTGTATGGACATGACTAATTTATGACATTCAGCAACAAAAGCATAAGTCATGTCATTTAACTATCGTGGTTATTAGCTATTCCAGTGTTTAGAGGCTGAGTTCAGAGAGATTAAGTAATTTTCTGATCCTTAGGTTCTATAACAAAATACAAAGAAAATAATTAAAGAAACCAGTACATTTCAGAAGAAAACTAGATGAAGCAGGAATAGAGTAGGGTGGCTTGTTTTAAAATACATATATATACATTTTTATATATATGTGTATGTGTGTGTGTGTGTGTGTGTGTGTGTATATATATACACACACACACACACACATACAGTTCATCCAAGTTTTTAGGTATTTTGAGTTCTTAGAAAAGATATTTTCTTCGAATTTGATGTATGGCTAATTACCCTTTATAAAGCTTCTTGACATATATAAGTAGTATCAGGCCATTCAAATACAAGTCAGTATCTATATTATTACTATTAATCTACAGTAGTAGACAAAGTATTAGGGCAATAGACTTGCTAAAGAAAACAAACATTAAGGTAATAAAAGACATATTACAGTTACAAATTACATTAACAAATAAGTAATGTGAAAGCAGACATTTGTGTATATATTTGATAGCATCCTATCTTTCCTAATTATGGTCAGAAACATTGTAATTCTATTTCTACCAAATAGGATCATTAGAAGAATTAAATGAATTAGCATTGGTAAAGCATTCACTATAATAAACAGCATAAAATGTTTGATATATATGTAAATAAATTAATAAGTATGTACCACACAGTATGCATTTATTCAATAATACCTACTTTCGAAGGTGGTCATGTTCTTTCAAAAATAGTTCAGTTCTTCTGTTGTTTACTCCAGACCCACTTTTATAAGACCTAGAAGAAAGAAAATTTTAGAACGTTTTTGGCAGACACTATAAAAAAGGATTAAGTGATTACTCCAGTAATATCCGAAGTGGACAAATTGAGCCTCTCCATATACAACTAAAATGTATAATCCTTTTCATCTCCTTTTAAAAATGGCATCTATGATAGATAAATATGCATGGCTCTCCAGCTTAAGAAATTATTTTTCACCAAAATAATCCAACATTCTTAGACAAAAGTCTTACTTTTCCTTTTTTAAATTTTATATACACATTTGATAATGTCTAAAAATGTATATTTTGTATCAGTTCCCAAAAAGTCCAACTCCCTAAAGTACATGAAAAGAGAATATACATTCATTCGTTTATTCATTAACTCAGCAAATATTTATTCAACATCTGTTAGCTACCACACATTCTAACAGTAAAACATGCTACTTAGCCATGAGTTGTTCAGTTTAGAAAGGTACATAAATTTAATTTTAATTCTGTGTAATAAGAACTATTACTTAATATTTATATAGAAAAGAAGAGAGTAGTCATTACTATAGGGCAGAAGGGAGATTAGAGCGCTTATGAGAAATACAGGAACCTTCCTAAACAGAGAAAATCCATAAAGGATACCCTACAGAACAAGCGATAATTTACAGTTGTAAAAAGTGGAGGATTATTTCAGGAAGGAAGGATTGCATATGCAGTGTCATGGGGTGTGCAAGAACACAGTGTCTTAAAGAAACTTTGTATCGTCCATCTTGCAGAGTGAGGTTTGGGAGGATACTGTAAAAGATGAGAAAAGCAGGGGCTTTTTTAAAGCCTTTTCCTTCCTTTCTCTATTATTTCCTCTTGTCTTTATTTTCCCCAAGTGGGAATAATACTCCTGATTGATTACGACACAGCACATGAGATAGGGAAGCCACTGAAATGGAATGTTTCCCTAAAAGGATGCTACGGATCTGCCACAGATCTGAGGACTGTGGAGTACCTCAGGATTTCCATCCTGGCCTTCAGTCAGTCAGTTAGTTCAGTCGCTCCAGTCGTGTCCGCCTCTTTGCGACCCCATGAATCGAAGCACGCCAAGCCTCCCTGTCCATCACCAACTCCTGGAGTTTACTCAAACTCACGTCCATCAAGTCGGTGATGCCATCCAGCCATCTCATCCTCTGTCGTCCCCTTCTCCTGCCCCCAGTCCCTCTCAGCATCAGGGTCTTCAGTTCATTACAATTTACAAGAAAATGCTTTGTATCATTACTACTAACACTTTCATGTTTCAATTCTTTACTTACAAAGTATCAAGAACCACAACAAAAAAATTCAAGTAACTGCACATATACTGCAGTGAGACAAAAGGGGGTCATGCCATTAAAAGTGAACCACTACCTGAGAGTAGGTTCTAGTGTGCAAAGCGCAGCAGGAAAGAAAACACCAGGAAAAGCTGCACAATATAACCAACACCACACTGGAAGACGAATGCTGTTTAGTTGGTCAGTCTTGTCCGACTCTTTTGCAACCCCACGGAGCCTATCCAGGCTCCTCAGTCCATGAGACTTCCCAGGCAAGAATACTGGAGTGGGTTGCCATTTCCTTCTCCAGGGGATCTTCCCAACCCAGGAATTGGATTGAAACCATGTCTACTGCTTGGCAGGCAGATTCTTTACCACTGAGCCACCTGGGAAGTCCATGAACCACTTAACCTCAAACAAGACTCTTAATACCTAGTTTTATAAAATGGGACTAAAAATTTATATCTATATCAAAAGATTATATGAAGCCAAAAAAGAAACAATATATGAAAAAGCAGTAATTTCGGAAAAAAAAAATTCTTAAATATCAGTTATTACTACTATTAGTCGTTAAGTTCGCGTCCAACTCTTGGTGACCCCATGGACTGCAGCACACCAGGCCTCCCTGTCCATCACCAACTCCTGGAGTTTACTCAAACTCCTGTTTATTGTGTCAGTGATGCCATCCAACCATCTCATCTTCTGTCATCCCCTTCTCCTCCTGCCTTCTCTCTTTCCCAACATCACGGTCTTTTCCAATGAGTCAGTTCTTCAAATCAGGTGGCCAAAGTACTGAAGTTTCAGCTTCAGCATCGGTTCTTCCAATGAATATTCAGGACTGATTTCCTTTAGGATGGACTGGTTGAATCTCNTACATTATTATATCTATACATCTCTTATATGTTATAATACTATAGTGTACATTATTATAATTATATATTATATATAATATATTATAATTATATACAATATATAATATATATTATACATATATTATATTTGAATATGTGCTTACTCCCCTTCATCATCTAAAGGGCCAAGTTAATCTTTTCATTTCTACCTGCTACTGCAACTGACATACTGTCTAACAGTGGGTAATCAAGAAATAGTTTAGCAAATGGATGAACGTGTTTCTTTCATGATAAACTTTAAGAAAACAAGTTACTACACTGGAATGAAGTCTAGCAATTCCCACAAATCGTGTGGTAGCTAAATGACTATACATTAAAGGCTGTCTGTTACACCGGTTCTCAATGCATTCTTTAAAATATATATGTATACAGACTATACAGAAACTAGACACAAGACCTATGTGTGCCTGAGAACTAATAATATTCCAAAATTCCAAATACAGCAAAAATGTTTCATTTCTTTACTCCTATTATGTTATACAAAGTACATGTGACTAAATATAAGAAAAACAGAGACAAACAGTAAAAATTAATTTTCCAAGATAATTTCTGGAGGTAAAAACATAACTGATGACTTGACAATCCTGGGTTTAGAGTTTTGGACAAAAATTTTGAATAGAATGAATACTAAGTGGTTTGTGCTATAAAACTGTCTTACTGTTACAACAAAATAAAGGAACTCCAAGATGATGTTTATCAGAGTACACATGATAGGTAAAGTTCATAATATGGCAGTACACATCACAGTTCATGAATCATAAGTATCATACTTATGAAACCTAAATACCCCAAGTCTATACCCTAAGTGAGACAATGAAAGGTCTCAATAGATGGCCTAAAAGTGGAAAGACTGCAGCTTTAATTAGATGCCCAATGGATTTGACCTTGTCAGTCAAGAACAGTTGTAAAAAAAAATTTCAAAACTGTGTATAAAATGCTATATTATTAAAGGTGAGCTAAAGTTAGGGAGGAAAAGAACACAGCCAAAAAATTATGGATTAAGAGCAGCATAAAAATGCTGGGAGTCCTTAAATAATTTTACATAAAGCTATGAGTCTGTATAAGACCTGGAAAAAACAGATTTCGAATTCTGGGGCAGTAAAGGCTACTCTAATAGCTACTTAAGTATGTAATTGTTGTGGTAAGGGAAAGGGTAGAGGGACAGAAAGGGTCATGAGGATGGGAAATGCAGAGAGCTTTGGTTATTGGTAATGTTATTAACATAATGCTCAAGATGGATAGGAGGCAATCAGAGAAAAACTCAGGAAGATATCTAAACTGGACTTTGAATTAAGACAGGAAAGACACGGTTGGCAAGAGTCAATGATAAAACTAGAGTAAGCTGGAGATAAGACCAGCAAAGTAGATTAGGACCATATCAGACCAGCAATGTTTAAAGAACTGTGAAATGCGAAATAGAAGCCTTGAAATCTAAATCATGGGTCTGCTACTCAATTTTTTGTTAATCACAGATACACTTTAAATCTAATTCTGAGTAAACACCCTACAAAATAATATAGAAGGTAACTTACTCAATATCCTTTCGTACGGATCCCATGAGATTCTCCCTTTCCCGTATTGCCACAAAGTTTGCTTTGGTTTTATGGAATTCATGTGTATAATCCTGCAATAAATTAATATCCAGTCTCAACATAAACTTTCACCTTATTGATCCAGTTATGTATTGTTATACTACAAATCTCTGTCAAGAAAACTGCTATTTAGGAAAACTAATCGTCAAGAGGTAAAAATACCATTATAATCAGTTTCCTGAAGAGTGACCAACTTTTTTCAAATGAAAAGTTTGGCACCAGAGGGGTGGTGGTAGTGGGGTGTGTGTGTAGTCACTTCAGTTGTATGTATGTACGTGTGTTTGTGAAGTCACTTCAGTCTTGTCCGACTCTTTGCAGCCCAATGGACTGCAGTCTGCCAGGTTCCTCTGTACATGGGATTCTCCAGGCAAGAATACCGGAGTGGGTTGTCATGTCCTCCTCCAGAGGATTTTCCTGACCCAGGAATTGAACCCATGTCTCTTACATCTCCTTCACTGGCAGGAAGGTTCTCTACCACTACAGTGCCACCTGGGAAGCCCAGCACGAGAGCATAACAGTGCCATTAGATCACCATCCTGTGTATCCTCTCATACCCTGTCTTATAGGGCAGAACTGTAAAGAAAAAATAATCCTCAGATAAAATAACTTCAAATAGCCTAGGATAAAACTTCAGAAGCTCTTTCTACTCATTAGTATACCCAATGGGGCTTATTTTCAAATTTCATCTTTTTGGAACTCCTGCAGAAAGTTAATTTCTAAACCAATCAAATGAATAGAATCAAGAGAGTTGTAAAGAATAAAAGAATTTTAGAATATTTCCTTTTCTTTTTTCTATCATATTTTTAAGTTATTAAGGAAAATTCACTGCTTTTAAAAAGTCAGAGAAGTATATTAAAAAGATAAAAAAAACATAATCCCACCTCCCAGAGAGCCCCTATTGATCCTTTAGAAGCAAAAATAATACATGCATGTGGGGCACCATAAACTAAAAGAGCACCAAACAAAATATAAGTAAAAACCATCCTGCTCCACAGTTCTTAATCTTATCATTATTTTCTTTCAGTTTCTTTCAGGAAATATGTTTTTCCATATACAAGTTTATTATTTCTTTCATTTATGCTAAAAACAAAATCATACCATAGTCTGCTGTAATCTTTAAGTTCATAAAATATCAAGTAATCTTCCCCTATTAGCAAACTGAATCTATATTCTTTTTAAAATTTAATATATAATTTTTAAACTATGACTGCATGCTAAGTGCTAAGTTGCTTCAGTTGTGCCTGACTCTTTGCTACCCTATGGACTGTAGCCCGCCAGGCTCCTCTGTTCACGGGATTCTCCAGGAAAGAATACTGGAGTGGGTTGCCATACCCTCCTCCAGGGGATCTTCCCAATCCAGGGATCAAACTACAGTCTCTTGTGTTTCCAGCGTTGGCAGGCAAATTCTTTACCACTAGCGCCACCACTACTGTAATTTAATAAATTCCCTACTGATAAACATTTTAGTTGCCTTTTTTTTTCCTGGCTGTTAAAAAGAGCTTCAATAAACAAGCTGTGTTTATATTTTACTGTACTCTCTAGGTATATTTAAAGGGTAAATGCCTGATAGAATAACTGGGTCAAACAGTTTTACACAAAAATTTGGTTAGTGCTAAAATGCTTCCTAGAAAGGCTACAACTTACATTCCCAGAAAATGGAAGAGCACCTATTTTTCTACACTCTTGCCATAAATGGGTTACAAATGCTTCAGTATTTGCTAATCTGACAGGTGAAAAATCTTTTCTCATTTTGATTTGCATGTTTTCATTTGAGAATGTGGCTGATCATCTTTTTATGAATTTGGCCACTCATTTCCTGTAAATAAGTTTGAAACCTTTTCCCACTTTTCTACTGGGTTCCCTTTTTCTTATTTCTATCAATGTATTTCTGTATATTAGCAAATCAGTCACTCGCTAAAGTTTCTGCTAATAGGTCTTGCTTAGGAAAGTCCTTCACTACCCCAAAATGTATCATTTCACCCACCAAGAAATTTTATAGTTTCTTTTTCTACACATAAATCCTTGACCCATTTGGAATTTACTCTGGATAGAAGGAATGAGACAGAAATTGAGTGCTTTCCCCCTCCCCCACCCTGCCAGAAATTAGCCAGTTGTAACAACTCTATTTATTTTATAATCTCTCTTTTCCCCATTGATTCAAAATAGCACCTTTCTCAGAAACTAAATTTTCATGCATATTTGGGTCTGTACATGAACTCTGTTGTATTCTATTGATCTAATTTTTTCCCAGAATCAAATGGTCTTCATTACTCTAGATTCTTAACAGGTTTTAATATGTGGTAGAACTAGGCATCCTTTACTACTTACCTTCATCTTCACATGTTTTCTTGGGTATTTTTGTATAATTCCAAATAAACTTTGGTGGCATTTTGCCATTTTTTTTAAAAAAATGAAGCAAACAAGAAAAACCTGTTATTTCCACTGGGATAACATTCAATGAAAGTGAAAGTCTCTGAGTTGTGTCTGACTCTTTGCGACTCCATGGACTATACAGTCCAAGGAATTCTCTAAGCCAGAATACTGGAGTGGATAGCCTTTCCTTCTCCAGGGGCTCTTCCAAACCCAGAGATCAAACACAGGTCTCCTGCATTGCAGGCAGATTTTTTACCAGCTGAGCCACAAGGGAAGCCCAGGAATACTGGATTGTGTAGCCTAACCTTCTCCAGTGGATCTTCCTGACCGAGGAATTGAACCAAGGTCTCCTGCATTGCAGGCGGATTCTTTACCAACTGAGTTATCAGGGAACATTCAATAGACAGGCTGATTTAGAGAGAAATCTTTTTTTTTTTTTTTTTTTTAGCTGTTACAAGTAGAGCTGCTGTGTATAATTGTGTGACAGGTTGTCTGGACACGTTTTCAAAGCTGTTTTCTAAGTGCTAGACGTGTAGTGTTCAGGTCACAGGGGAGTCTTGTTTAGCTGTGGAAAAATCCAGCTAAGTTTCTCTGGCATGTGGGATCTTCCTGGGTAAGGGATCGAACTTGAGGATCTTGTGTTGTCAGGCAGATTCTTTACCACTGAGCCACCAGAGAAGCCCCTTTATACTCCTCAGCAGAACTTTATATATGTAAGTCCTTCCTATACATTCTTATTAAATTATACATAAAAACTTTTAGTTTCTTCCACTGTACTTTCTAACAGGTTATTGTTTGTGTATAGGAAAACTGCTTGCTTTATATATTAATTTTGCAAGTCATCAACTTATTGAATTTGTCTCCAATTTTTGTTTAGTTTTATGGATTATATCAGCTATATAATCTTATCACTAGTACAGAATACAGATTTTCGCCCCCCTTTTCAATTATTTATATCTTGTTCTTTTTACTGTGTAACTGAACTACAAACAACTTCCACACAATGTTAAATAAATATCTTACAGCATGATGATAGATTTTAATCTGATGTACACATCTCTGTACTAGGTAAAGTATTCTATTTATATTTTTAACATGAGTTTTAAAAATTAGAAATGACTGGATTTTTTCAGTATTAAAAAATTTGCTTTCCTATTTGTACTACTATATTTTCAGCACCCTCCCATGTAAATCTTTTAAGAGTTCATTTGTTTCACTGGTATACTTTTAATATTTTTCTCAAACAATACACTAAATATCGAAATTACTTCTCTTCCCTGCTATCGTCAAAGCCTGATGGAAGAAACCATCACGACTGCTTATGTATAAGCACTGGCCGCTTTGCTGCTTCAGCTGGGTAGCAAGATCTCCCACAGCAGTAACATACTCACCTACTGATGAATATGATTGAATTTCACCAGGCAAAAGAAAGAGCTAATGAGCATTTTCAGAATCTTAAAAAAGCAAAACAGGACAAACTTCCATAGCACATTTACCCTCTTGGAAGATTTTTCCCTTTGTTCTCCTAAATACATGTGCACATGTTCTCTTCATGGAGTAAAGAAACTCAAAACCCTCCTATAATGACATAAAGATCTCAAGCCCAATGTATTACCTGCAGTATGTCTCTATGTCGCTGTAATGTATGCATCAGTGCTGCATTCAAGGAGGGGACACCTGCACTGTTGGTATACTCTGCCATTTTATCATTTACTCCTGTAAGCTAAAACAGAAAAAAAAAAAAAAAAAGAAAGAAAATCATACAAACATTTCAGAAAGCCTGATAAAGAGATAAAAGCAAATTAAATGCCTATATGCCCTTCTGGCTAACAGCAAAAAAATAACAACAAGAAGACAGCATGTAAGGATTCAGTATTTCCCCAAAATATCCAAAAGGGCTAATAAAATAGGACCTTGGAATGGCTGTTATCAAAACTCAAGTGGCCTGAGGAGGCACACATCTTGAACAAAAGGGTAATTTCAATAAATAGGTCTGCATTAATATAATCTAGTACCATACCTAACAAGTACACAGTTACTAGGAAAATAATCCTTTAACAGAAGGTACTCACTCTTGCCAAAAGCTGTTCAATCTCAATCGCCATAGTTTCAAACATTCTGTCTTGGCTTGATCCATTTAAAAGGGGTGTTGTGTCAGAGCTAAAGAGAAGTTCAAATAAAAGAGAATCTATTACTTAAACCTAATCCTTTAAAATATACTTAAAATGATAAGGTAATTATTTTTTAAAAGGTCAAGTGGAACCCCTGAGACATTCTTTTCGTTTCATAAAAATATAATTTTCACTGAAGTTTTCCTATAAAGATCACACATCCTGAATATTAAATTCAGTATAAAATAAAACTGAATGTATGACTGTCCCAATTTTAATAATGCAAAGAAATTAAAAATGCTTGCTTCCTGTTTCCCAAATGAAAATAACTTAAGCTATGACAGTGCCTAATTAAATGCTGGATCTGAAGGAACAAATATTGTGAAATAAAATTGCAGAACTACATAGTACAGCATGTAAGAGGAGCCATAAAATGTATTAGAGATTATGTTTGATCTGTGAGAAATAATCTTTAAATTTTTTACTTTAATTTAAGTTCTGTCTTACTTCCACGACTCTTTCCAAAAATAAATAAAATTGAGATTTAAACAATCCACAAACTGGATAAATAATATTAAATAATCAGGAATTGGCTTTAAGTCTAGTACAGATAGCCATGTCTGGCAGGGAAGTTTTAATACCAATCTTTTACATTTCCTCTTAGATTATATAATTACTTCTGTTTTGCTTTGCAAAAATGTATTGAACTGTCTTCTAAAGTCTGGAAAGCCAAACTTAATTTTTACAAGTGAAACTTATGTTTGACAGATTCAAATTCTAAAACCAAATGTCTTGAAAGTCTCTTTCTCTTCTGAAAAACCATTAGCCTTCATTAAGTCTCCAAGTGGTATGTATTATCACACGAGCAGCTGTAGCTCAACACTGATCTTAGTCACACTGAACACAGACAAATACCAGACAGTGACTGTGTTCTCCAATCTCACTAAGACGCTGTCTTGCCCTGTGGCCGCTGCTTCATCAGTCTGCTCCCTGGGTGGCTCGGACGGTAAGGAACCTGCCTGCCATGCAGGAGGCCGGGTTCAATCTCTGGGTCGGGAAGATCCCCTGGAGGAGGGCACGGCAACCCCCTCCAGTACTCTTGCCTGGAGAATTCCAGAGACAGAGGAGCCTGGTGGGCTGCAGCCCAGGAGGTCGCAGAGAGTCAGACACGACTGAGCGTCTGGCACCAACACTTCTTTAAACGGCAAAATTTACCTTGGCTCTTTCTCTTTTCTACATACACATTTACAGCAACAGCAACAAACCGTGAAATAGCCAAAAAGTAGCTAATAAGGAGGATTTTCAATTTAGGATGCTTAGGTCCAAATTTTTCTTTAAAATTTTAATTCATTCACCTTAAAATATTTCACTCTTTATTATGTGTCAGAGTCAACTCAAGGTTCCATGGTTATCTCTTAGAATGTGCCCAGGGGAAATACTTTATGCACTACTAATACAATCCTCCCCTACCAGATATATGAAAAAGAACAATGGACCAACGATGTATGCGCCATCAGGAAGAAAACTGCCTCTATCCTGTTCACAGATACAAGCCTACCACCTAGAACAGTGCTTGGCACATGGTAGATGCTCATTAAAATACTTGCTGAATGAATGAGGAGGCAATCTCTACATTCACCACTCTCAGGGAGGTACAAGTCCAGGGAAATGAGGAAAAACATCCTCTCCACAATACCGAGATTCAGTTAAATTTAATTCATTTCATAAGTATGTGGTGATTCACAGACCACATAGTTCTCAAAACACAGAAAGTAAAAAAATAACTCCTGGAAGAAAAATTCTGGTCATCACTGAGTTTATTCATTATGACGTGCTCTCAACCTGGGCAACAAACACTTTAATCCTGGATCCGCATGGCCCTAGGTTTCTTGTTAAGAGGGACAGTGAGAGTGAAGTAACTCCACAAACTCATTCTCAATTTGTTGTAGAATTTCTGATGGAATGTTTTCGAATAGTTTCCCCTTTAAAGGAGTCATAAAAATACAAGTATACCTCAGAGATACTGCGGGTTTAGTTCCAGACCACCACAATAAAGCAAGCATTTCAATAAAGTGAATCACATTAATTTTTTTGTTTCTCAGTGCACATAAAAGTTGTTTACACTTTACTGTAATCTGTTAAGTATGCAATAGCATTATTCTCAAAAAGACCAATGTACACACCAGAATTTAAAAACACTTTATGGCTTAAAAATCCTAACTATCACCTGAGCCTTCAGTGAGTAATCTTTTTGCTGATGGAGAGTCTTGCTTTGTGATAGCTACTGACTGACTAGGGTGGTGGCTGGTAAAGGCTGGGGTGGCTGTGGCAATTTTAAAAAGTAAGACAACACTGAAGTTGTTGAATTGACTCTTCTTTTCAGGAATGATTTCTCTACAGCATGTGATGCTATTTGACAGTATTTTACCCACAGCAGAACTTCTTTCAAGATTGGAGTCAATCCTCTCAAATTCTGCTGCTGCTCTATCACTAAGTTTATGTAATATTCTAAATCCTTTGTTGTCATTTCAGCGATCTTCATAGCATCTTCACCAGGATAGAAGTAGATTCTAGCTCAAGAAACCATTTGTCTATAAGAAACTTAGACACACACACACACACACACACATATATCCATATGCATGTGTGCGTGCTAAGTCACTTCAGGTCCAACTCTTTGCAATCCCACGGACTATAGCCTGTTTGTCCTCTGTCCATGGGATTCTCCAGGCAAGAATACTGGAGCGGGTTGCCATGCCCTCCTCCAAGGGATCTTCCTGACCCAGGCATTGAACTCACATCTCTTATGTCTCCTGTACTGGCAGGCTGGTTCTTTACCACCTGGGAAGCCCACACATATGCATATGTATACATGTATCTGTATCTATCTATCTGTAAATATATATACAAACAACTTGTCATCTGTGGCAGTTCAATCACAGCTTCAGGCTCCACTTCTAACTCTAACTTCTAATTCTCTTGCTATTTCCACCACATTAGCAGTTACTTCCTCCACAGAAGTCTTGAACCCCCTCAAAGTTATCCATAAGGGTTGGAATCAACTTCTTCCAAATACCTGATAACATTATTTTGACCTCTTTCTCGGATCTTAATGCTCTTAATGGCATCTAGAATGGTGAATCCTTTCTAGAAGGGTTTCATTTGACTCTGTCCAGACCTATCAGAAGCAGCACTATCTGTGGAAGCCATAGATAGCGGCTTCCATTATTTATGATTTCTTCAGTAATAAGACTTGAAAGTTGAAATTACTCCTTGATCCATGGGCTGCAGAATGGACACTAACACAGGCATGAAAATAACATCAACCTCACTGTACTTCTCCATGAGAGCTCCTGGGTGAACAAGGTGCATTGTCAATGTGCAGTCATATTTTGAAAGGAATCTTTTTTTCCAAAGGGTAGGTTTCACCAGCGGGCTTAAAATCTCCTGTTGTAAACAGGTGCCGTCACCCAGGCTTTGCTGCTGGACTTTCGGAGCACTGGCAGAGCAGACCGGCGCGATCCTTGAGGGCCCGAGGGTTTCTAAAGTGGCCAGTGAGCACTGGCTTCAACGTAAAAGTCACCAGCTGCATTCACCCTAACAAGAGTCAATCTGTCCTTTGAAGCTTTCAGACATCAATTTCTCTCTAACTATGAAAGTCCTAGATGACACCTTTCAATAGAAAGCTGTATCATCTATATTGAAAATCTGCTAGTTAATGTCACCACCTTCATTAATTACCTTAGCTGGCTCCGCTAGATAACTTGCTACAGCGTCTATTAATATATCAGCACTTTTGGCTTCTCCTTGCTGTTTGACATTATGGGGATGTCTTCTTTCCTTAAACCTCACAAACCAACCTCGACTAGCTTCTGCAGCTTGCCGTCTCAGCTTCACAGAACTGGAGAGAGTTAGTGCTTTGCTCTGGATTAGGCTCTGGCTTAACAGAATGCTGTGGCTGGTTTGATCTGTTCAGACCACTAAAACTTTCTCTGTATCAGCAGTGAGGCTTTTCACTCTCTTATCATTTGTGTGTTCACGGGAGCAGCAGTATTTAACTTCCTTCAAGAACTTTTCCTTTGTGTTCAGAACTTGGTTGTTCAGCCTAGCTTTTGACCTATCTAGATTTTCACTATTAATCATTTCCAGCTTTTGATTTACAGTGACAGACACTTTCACTTGGTCACTGTAGAAGTTATTAGTTGGTCTAATTCCAATATTGTTGTGTCTCAGGCACAGGAAGGCCTGAGGAGAGGGAAAGAGAAGGGAGAACGACCTGTGCATGGAGGAGTCAGAACGCACACAACATGGATTAACTCTGCCATCTTAGAAGGGTGTCGTTTGTCGTGCCCCCAAACAATTACAATAGTAACATCGACTAAGCCCATGTGTCACCACTACTGAGTCTCTGTTGGAGAGCTCGGGAGCCACAGCTACTGAAGCTCACATGCCCGAGAGCCTGTGCTCCACAGCAAGAGAAGCCCCAGCACCGCAGCGAGGAGCAGCCCCAACTTGCCACAGCTAGAGAAAGGCCATGCAGCAACAAAGAGTCAGCAGAGCCAACGATAAATACAATTATTTTTTTAAATAATGTTAAAAAAGCAAGTTAAAAAGTAACCATTATGAACTGTTCAGGAACATAAATATACATAGTAAAAACACACAGAGATTATAGGGAGGGAGAAAATGGGATGCCATCAGGGGCTCCAAATGAATTGATGACGATGATTTCTTAAAGTGAGAGAAGGCACACAGGGATCCATTACATTATTCCATCTTCCTGTCTTAAGTATTTCCTAATATTGTTTTAAACAAGTGGATGGCCTAAAGTGAGGTTCAAAGATAAGACTACATTTATATCTATTCAAAGAGCAGTATACCCAGTTTCTCAAAAAAGAACAAACGTTACATGTACACGCTGCTATATTTAAAATGGATAACCAACAGGGACCTACTGAATAGCACAGAGAACTCTGCTCAATGTTAAGTGGCAGCCTGGATGATGGGAGGGGAGTTTGGGGGAGAATGGATATGTGTATATTTATGGCTGAGTCTCTTCACTATTCATCTGAAATCATCACAACACTGTTAATCAGATATACCCCAATACGAAAAAAAAAAAAAGAATCAAAATTTAAAATAGCTTGGATCATTAACAGTGAGGACATACACTGCATTAGCGTAATTCTAAAACACCAGAAGAGCAGTAGGTATAATGTGCATCTGAGTAGCCCCTCAGATCCATTTAGCGATCAGAAAATGTAAGAAACACAATGTGGGCAAAGCAACATTTTCTTATACGGGATGAAATAGGCATTTATTTCGGACGAACTCATTCTTAAGCCTTAGCATTTCCCTCCTGATACCAACACAATATTTGCCTAAGGATTCCAAATAAATGTCAGTCTCTAGACTTAAGAATTTTTATAAATCACTTTAAAAACCACCAAAAATTCACCAATAGACCAAGTTACAGAGCTATATTTTACTTTATTTTTTTTTAATGCTTTAAAAATACTATATAAAAAATAAAAATACTATATAACTATAAGGCAAAAGAGAGAGAATCTGGTAGTACCTATACCTGTCGCGTCTTCCATCTCGGGCACTGCTGTGACTGTAGCTTGTACACAGTTTACTGAAGGAAACTAGTTTCAGGTCAAGTTCATTTTCCAGCTGTCGAGCCTGTTTCCTGAGATCTTTAACAAAATTACAAAAGCAAATAATTAGACACAAAAAGTCCATCAGTAGATATAAAAAACACAAAACTTTTCTGAAGAAAACAAACTATGAAGATGATCATTTATCTAGAGTACTAAAAGACGCATACCAAACATTTATCCATGAAAACAGTCCCTTATTTAAACTTCAGATGAGGCAAAAAGGGGAGAAATAGTGGGGATGCAAATTTTCGGCTTTATCCTAAAGACAGCTAAACAACAAATGCTGTTCTAACATCTCTGAAATTATTTCTATAGCACTAACTAAAATTTTGTAACTCAGAGGAAAACAGAAGAGAACAAATCACCAAAGGAAGTGAATATGGTTTATGACCAGCACTGTATCCATTTACCCGCTAATTTTATAAAAAGGAAACCATCACTACTTTTGACAGGGATTATCCTATCTCTTATGTCAAAGCTTTACTAGGCTTATGAAATTTATGAAATTCTTGACAATAGAGTAAGTGATTGTTAAAGAAAAAAAACCACTGACAAAGATTTAAAAAACTATCTTTCAATAAGCGAGGCTGAGTTTAACAGCAAATGAACAATATGCTACCGACAAGGTCAACTCTAAGTACGACAGAAATAAGAGCATGAGTTTGAAAAGAACAGAAGAAAAGAGACATGGAGAGAAACTGGCATCATGTAATAGTTTGGCATCTAAGTTGAGTGAAAGAAGCCAGTCCAGTAACTCTTATCTAGAAATGAGTACTTTCATTCATGATGAAGTAGAGGTCAAAATAAAACTGTTGGAATACAGAACGCATAGTATAAACATCTCATCTTTCAGGAATAAGAATATAAAACATTATTTCAATACACTAAGCAGCAACCAGATGTAGGGAAGCACCATGCAGGTAATACAGTGAAGTACATTTTCCCAGAGACCAAACCTCAGAACCTCAGCTCAGCCTAAAGTTCTGAAGTTCTGAGAACTGGCTCTAAGATTTATTCACAATCGATTTAACCTATGAATTTCTGCTTTTTGCTTTATAAATCTTTACCTGCAGAGTTTTTCTATGCATTACTAATCATGTGTTTAAAGCACCTGGCACAGAGCAGACAGTCAATAAGCCACTACAGACACAGGGAACAAACGTGCTGGACAGAGGCAGGTGGGGAGGGTGGGATGGACTAGGAGATTAGGTTGACATAAATACACTGCTAAAAAAAAAAAAATGCAGGGCTTCCCCCATAGCTCAGTTGGTAAAGAATCTGCCTGCAATGCAGGAGACCTGGGTTTGATTCCTGAGTCGGGAATATCCCCTGAAGAAGGAAATGGCAACCCACTCCAGTATTCTTGCCTGGAGAATCCCATGGACAGAGGAGCCTGGCAGGCTGCAGTCCATGGGATTGCAAGAGTTGGACACAGACTTAGCCACTAGAGAGAGAGAGAAATGCCTAAAATAGCTGGTGGGAACCTACTGCCTATAGCACAGGGAGCTCAGCGCAGTGCTCTGTGATACCCTAGACGGGTGGGATGGGAGGGGCAGGAGGGAGTTCAAGAGGGAGGGGATATATGTATACACATAGCTGATGCACTTCACGGTACAATAGCAACTAACACAACTGTAAAGCAAGTATACGCAATAAAAAAATAAGCTGCTATAATTACTATAGCACGATGCTTCAAAAAAGTATAGCCTAATGACAAAATTAAAGATACTAATAACCACTTCTACATAATTTAAAAATATTTTCTAGCTAGCACACACATTTCAAATAAGCGCTTTAATACGTTTTAAACTGTTAGCACGCTTCTCTGTAATTAGTAATTGTCTTCTCTAGTAATGAAATATCAAGTAAAAGCATACTGAAAGTACGACAGGCAAGTACCCATGAACTTAGAATAAAGTATTCTAGATCAAGAGGCTGATCGTGACAATACTGTTATCTGGGGTGGTCTCCAGAGGCTTCACTGGGGAGCAGGAGGAAATAGGTTAAAAGAGAAAGGGGTTTCGGAGAGTAGTTTCTATTATATTTTGCAGTAGAGCAAAGAGACAATTGACCAAAAAAAAATAAAGGTGAGCCTTCTCTGATCTCTGTTCATCATCATGGTCCAGAAATGAGTTTTACATGAGACCACTTTATCGAATCATATTTTCGGGAATTAAATAACCGTACTTGTCACATGATGGGTTTTTTTTTTTTTTTTTGGTAGAAGAGGTATAGCAGATGCAATCTTTACAAATTCACATTGATTCTCTCAACTTTCCCTTTTTAACTAAACCGATTTCCGGAACTGAAAGAACTTTCCTCTGCCTTCAAAGGCTTTTTTTTTTTTTTTTTGGTAGAAGAGGTATAGCAGATGCAATCTTTACAAATTCACATTGATTCTCTCAACTTTCCCTTTTTAACTAAACCGATCTCCGGAGCAGAAAGTAATTTCCTCTGCCTTCAAACGCGACTCGCCACCCAATCCTCGAAGTCCCAGCCCGAAGCTACCAAGGGGACCCTACAGGAGGGAGACATTCCGCTCACACAACTTCCCTCGATGGACCGGACCGACGAGTTCCTCCTTTCTCTTTTCCTACTCAATTGTCCAACAGCGACCTCAACTCTAAGACGCTGACTGCTCCAGTCTATTGGACTCAACAGTCGCTTCCTCTCAGAGTTCACACCCCAAACCCCTCCGTCCAAGTTCCACTACCGCCTCAGCCCAGCTCTCCTCCGGAGAATCAGACCCTCTTCCTGTCGGCCGCGGCTCAGCCTTCTCTGCCCAACACCTGCCCCAGGTCCCGCTGCCGATCAGGTCAGCCTCCTCCCCGGACCGTAAGGTTTCTACAACTCCCAGGCCCGAGGACTCCCACTAGACCAGCCCTACCCCTCAACTCAGCCGCTCTGGAGGCCAGGCTCTTCCCTCTGCTGCCTCCGCCAAGACCCGTCCTTACTCAGCACTTCTGCCCCTTGGCAAGACGTACAAGGAGGTCTCCCCTCACCTTCCCAGTAATTGCTCGTTCCTGCCGCCATCTTTGTTGTCCAACGTCAGTGGGGATAGGAGAGTTGAGGCGAGGCGAGCCAGAGAGTCACGTCCACGCCTTCTTCCGCTGGGCGCCAGGGCCGATGGGATACGTGAGCTTCCACAGACACCGCCACCTGGTGGTCGTTTTATCATATTACACCTTTTGAGTAGTGAGATGGATAGCTTCAGATTTAGCGCCGGACACTCCCTGAACATCTGTCTTTTTGGTGTCTGTATTCGCTCTCCGCGTCCCAAACCCGCATCATCGCCTTGAGCTGGCTGGGTTTATCCCCTCTTTAGGCGATACCTCCCCTGGAGAAGGACATGGCAACCCACTCCAGTACTCTTGCCTGGAAAATCCCATGGACGGAGGGGCCTGGTAGGCTATGGTCCATGGGGTCGCGAAGAGTCCGACTCGACTGAGCGACTTCACTTTCACTTTTCACTTTCATGCGTTGGGAAGGAAATGGCAACCCACTCCAGTATTCTTGCCTGGAGAATCCCAGGGACGGGGGAGCCTGGTGGGCCGCCCTCTATGGGGTCGCACAGAGTCGAACACGACTGAAGCGACTTGGCAGCAGCAGCAGCTGCGGCAGGAGCTATCTCCCAGGCTGAGAAGAAAGTCACCCTCAGACCCAGCTGCCTGTTTCCTTCACCTTCTCTCAAATGTGTATCTTCAGCCACCTCTTTCTCGGAGCCAGAGGCTCTTTTCTTCCCGAGACCAACCTCTGCATCCTACCTCCGCCTTGTATCATGTTCTGTTTCAAGAACCTTCTTTAGCCATTTGTTAAAAAGTAGTTCAGCTGGAGACAAATTCTATTAGTTTTTCTTCGTCTGAAATATCTGGATTTCCCCATTCCTGAAAAATTTCGTTGCCAGATTAGGAATCTGGGGCTGACAATTGCTTTTTTCCCCCAGCACTTGAAAAATGTGCCAATTCCTTCCTGATTCCACAGTTTCTGATGAGATATTGGCTGTTATTTGAATTTTTTCCGCTAAAACTAATATATCTCTTCTCTCTGCTTTAAAAACTTTCATTATCTTTAGTTTTCAGAAGGTTGATTATGGTGGGTTTTAGGTAGGTTTCTTTGTATTTTTTCAGATCAAAAATTTTCATTTGGTTCCTTATTATATCTTTTATTTATTTGGTGAGGGTTTTTCTTTGTGGAGATTCTTTTTTATCATTTATTCTAAGATTATTTGTAATTGCTCATTGAAATATTTTTATTATATCCTTGTCAGATAATTTCCATGTCTGTGTCATTTTGATGTTGGCATCTGTTGTCTTTTTTCATTCGAGTTGAAATTTTCTGGGGTCTTGGTATAATGAATGATTTAAAAAATTGTATTCTGGATATTTTAGGCATCATATTCAATAAGACTCTGGATCTTATTTAACGCCTCTGTTTAAGCAGAGCTCCTTTGACTCCATGCTGATGAGAAAGATAGTAGAACCTTGTTACTACTAGCTGGGAGTGAAAGTTCACACACACACACACACACACACACACACCCTCCATCTTCGCCTTTGTTGTTAACCCAGGTGGGAAGGGTGACTTGTTACTGCTCCCCCACTGACACCATGACAGGGGACGACTTTATCACTATGTGGTAGTGACAGTCCTAGCTCCCCACATGGCCCTCTTTGATACCACCCAGGCAGTGGGAAAGAGTTCTAGGCTGTCTGTTCAGCCTATGCTGGCGGACGGTAGAGATGGCCTCGGTTTTTTCTGTAGCAATTGGCTGGATTAGTACAATTGTTATCGTAGACTGTTCTGCCCTAGTAGATTGCCCCTTTCCTGGTTCTTTGACAGGAGAAGGCTTTTCTTTACTTTTTTTGTCTGCGCCCTTTGGCATTTCTGGGTTGTTAATGTCTCCAGGATCCATTATGGGATACATGAGGCAACATCTATTATGAGATACATGAGGCCAAAAAGAAAACCCAGGGAACTCACCACTGTGTCGTTCCTTGGATGCAGGAGATCACTTGGAGGTTCCTGGGTGGTCTGCCTTCTCTCTACCTGAGTCTCCTTTATTTTATGTATAATGCATGAGTTTTTTGGTTTTTTGCTGTGATTGGTGGGAGGAATAGAACTACATCTAGTCCATTTTGTCCTGAAGTGAAAGTCTCTAATTTTTAATAGATGTAATTATCTGCCAAGGGCTTCCCAGGTGGAGCTAGTGGTAAAGAACCTGCCTGCCAAAGCAGATGTAAGACATGGGTTCAATCCCTGGGTTGGGAAGGTCCCCTGGAGGAGGGCATGGCAACCCACTCCAGTATTCTTGCCTGGAGAATCCCATGGACAGAGGAGCCTGGTGGGCTACAGTCCATAGGGTCACAAAGAGTTGGACACGACTGAGCGACTTAGCACAATCATCTGCTAAAATTCTTCCATCTTATCTTTTACTTTCCTGAATTTATTCCTTCCCATTATTTTAAAGTCTGAGTGGTAACAAGAATCTGTGACTCCCGTGGCACTGTTTCTATTTTTTTCCTTGTTCTTTCATCATTTGAGATGGGGTAATAAAAGGAACTTTTAATTGGATGTTATGCATTATAGATTAAAATTTGCAGTAATCATAGGAGACTCACAATTTTCTGCTTCTTGTAGGCATTTCATGTAGGGGCAGATCAGTTTACTCCAGTGTGGGGTGGGACTAATACAGTGGGATTCTATGTAAAAATTTGCCTGTTTTGGTTACTTGTAATTACTGCTATTTGTGTTGTGTAGTCATGCAAATGTCCTAATTGAAAGTCTGATGACCAGTGCCCTCTTCCTTGATAGGTGCTGATCTCACATTACCTGCCTAAAGCTTCTGCGTGAGTTCTCTGCTACTGTGTCTCTCTTACTCACCACTTACAAATCAACAATTGCCTTAAGGTGAAAACTTCATTACGTTCACCTCTGAACTCCCTTTGCTAGGGTGTTGACCCATAAGTCCTTGTTACTTTAGTAACTTTCCAAAACTTCAACAGGTTTTATCTTTTTTTAAAAAATTTGTTTATGTCTGCGCTGAGCCTTCCTCTAGTTGCGGTGAGCAGGGGCTGCTCTCTAGTTGCGGTGTGTGGGCCTCTCATTGCGGAGGCTTCTCTTGCTGAGGGGCACAGGTTCTAGGTGCTCAGGCTTCGGTAGTCGCAGCACGTGGATTCAGTCATTGTGGCTCACAGGCTCAGTCGCCCTGTGGCTTGTGGAATCTTTCCAGACCAGGGATCGAACCCGTGTCCCCCTGCATTGGCAGGCAGATTCCCCACCACTGAGCCACCAAGGAAGCCCAGTTTTCATGTATCTTGCAGGACTCTAAACTGTCCTCTTTCTCTTTGTTCTCATCGCCCATTGTCAAAGGGTGCTTCTTCTTTTGTACTTTTCCCGTGTGTCCCAGATTGACTCCTTATCGTTTGTTGTTCTTGTTCAGTCCCTAAGTTGTGTCTGACTTTTTTCGACCCCTTTAAGTTATACTCAATCCAAAGCCTCTTCTCTGTGGTTTGTGCTCTGATCTGATCTGCTTGGACATGTTTTTTTTTTTTTTTTTTTCTTTTTTAGGCCATTCAGACTTAAGATGCACTTAGTCTTTCTGAAAGTAGTTTTATACTAACGTTAGGCCCAGTGCTGGAATTCCTCTTCTGCCTTTTCTCCACAAAGCCTTGTACTGGGCTAGGGTTGGGGCAGGGCGTGTGAGAGTGTATGCTGAGATTTGGTTATTTTTCTCATCTTATTGTTAGTTTGGAGTTTTGAAATTCTCTGGCTTCAACGTACACTGAGGTTTCTGTATATTTACTTTTCCCTTTTTGTCTTTTGCATTATTTTCCAGTGAAATACGGGAGACAGGTAGCTTAGACTGCCACCAGTGTTTTCAGTGACCTGGATGTTTATCTCAATGTTTATAACATAAACCAAAAGGTTCCTGTTCTTTCTGAGACAACTCCAAAAATTCAGGAGAATACTTCAAATATTGGCAGACAAAGAACCGTCATTACTGTTCATATTTCTCGCAGCAGTTAAGTAAGGCTGTTTTCACTGAGTAAGCATAAATATAATCTAATTTTACTTAAAACCAAATATGAAGCATTTGGCATAATTTAAAATTTTACTGCCATTCCCAGGCGGCGCTAGTGGTAAAGAGTCTGCCTGCCAATGTAGGAGACTTTAGAGATGCAGGTTCAACCCCTGGGTCAGGAAAACCCCCTAGAGAAGGGCATGGCAACCCACTCCAGTATTCTTGCCAGGAGAATCCCATGGACAGAAGAGCCTGGTGGGCTACCCAGTCCATAGAGTTGCAAAGAGTCAGACATGACTGAAGTGACTTAGCACAGCACAAGCCATGCTATATACAACCTATGGAACCACATAATGGAAGTTTTTATTTTTAGTATTCATGTCTAGGGATTTCTTCTAAATTAAAAAGGCCACCTGTAAACCGATCTTTTGTTCATGCTGCTGCTGCTGCTGCTGCTGCTAAATCGCTTCACATGTCCAACTCTGTGCGACCCCATAGACGGCAGCCCACCAGGCTCCCTTGTCCCTGGGATTCTCCAGGCAGGAACACTGGAGTGGGTTGCCATTTCCTTCTCCAATGCATGAAAGTGAAAAGTGAAAGTGAAGTTGCTCAGTCATGTCCGACTCTTCGCGACCCCATGGACCACAGCCTACCAGGCTCCTCCATCCATGGGATTTTCCAGGCAAGAGTACTGGAGTGGGGTGCCACTGACTTCTCCACTTTTGTTCATATATGTGATTAAAATAACTTTCTTTCAAAGGGATCAGAAAACAGCAAAGGATACTGGTTACCAAGGTCATTCAACTTCTGAGTCACATACAATGTTGGGCCCTTTGCAAATATTATTTTGCTTCATTCCCACCACAGTTCTATCAGGTATTATTCCTTAATCAGAGGAGAAACCAAGATTCAAGAGAACATTAAGAAGCTTGTACAAAGCAAAGTCACAGAGGAAGCAAGTGGCCGAGCCGAGAGTCAGTGGGAGACTGATTCAGCTCTGAAGTCCATGCTCAACTCTGGGCTATGCCCCTTCCATAGCAGATTTTCTTTTTAGAGGAACCAGTCACAACAGAAGTAAAGCTTATTTTC